CGGTATAATCTCCCTGCCATAATCGGCTCTAAGAATTCGGCAACTACACGATTTTCATAGGATATTATCATACGATGGTGAACCTCAGCTATTCTATGAAGCTGTACGGTGGAAAGCATAGCGCTTTCCTTAAGAACTTGCAACAGAATTTAATTGGGAAATACATCTCAAGAAAATCGAGTGGACCGAGCACACATCGCCACTAGTTTCCTCACTGAAGTCAATCGTAATCTTCCCTTCCTTGATCGCATTCTCGTAGTATTCGGGAGGCTGGGCCATAAATTCCGCTTCGCCTGAAGGCCTAACGTTCTCCAGTGTAACATAAGAGCACTATAGCCATTACATATATCGAGTAGAGTCTTTCCCAACCATCGCTTCTTGATATAACACCGGAACTCGAACCTAATACGCCGTACACAATCAAAAAGTTTATGACAAGAACATTGTCTTTGTCACAAACTCTGAACAGTTGGAGTTGTTTCTGAACCAACGACTAAGCTATTAGACAATTTCAACTAACCCAGCGCGTGATTGATCGACCTTGTCGATCAAACAACCGGTTTACCTGTAGGGTTTGACGAACCGCATACCATCCTTCACGTAGACCTGTGGTTCCTCCAGAAACCTGGGCTTACCATCCCCTCTCTGTCGCTTCCGTCTCGAATCCTCCGCGCCCGTATTCTTACGTTTGGGCATTTCTACTGTGAAAACACTACCGGAAACCCCTCTCGTTTCCAAACTTTCTCGCAAAGTACCGTCAGTCGCGACTCATCACAAAAATATCGTTTTCGAAACAACCTCAAACCTCAATAGTTCAACACAACGCCTTCATGCATTACTATGATAGAAAAAATCCACAGGGTAAGACCCTTACCTCGAGGGTAAACACGAAGCTATCACGACTCCCTGAACTACTATCTTGACACACGAATACACATCATAGTGTGTGAACAAAATCAAGCCTTCGCTCGATGAGCTCAGTCTACTTGTTCTCGGTGTAAAACTTGTGCATGAATTCGACGAGACGCTGTACACCCTCCAGAGGCATACCGTTGTATAGACTGGCTCGAAGACCACCAACACTCCTATGACCAGATAAGGTGACGAGACCGACCTCCTTAGCCTCAGCGAGGAACTTCTTCTTCAAGTCATCATCGTTATCCTTGATCACGAAGGGGACGTTCATACGGGAGCGAACGTTCCTGGCAACAGGAGCGTTGTAAAATCCATTACTCTCCTCAATGGCTCCATAAAGAAGACCCGACTTCTTCTCAGCGAGATCATCCCAGTGCTTTAGTCCACCGTGAGCCTTTGTGTACT